AAAAATGTGCGGGCGGCCCAGAATTCTTTATCCAACAAGGTTGTCATTCAGAATGAAGGAGAGATAAAGAGGTTCCAGGACAAACAAAAACTAAAGGAATTTGTGAACATTAAACCAGCCCTGCAAGAAATATTAAAGGGGGTCCTTTCAGCGGAGGGAGAGCCCAAAATTAACAAAGACCAGAAAGGAACGCAAACAATCTACAGGAACAGTGACTTTACAGGTAACACAATGGCACTAACTTCATATCTTTCAATAATTATTCTGAATGTAAATGGAGTAAATGTTCTAATCAAAAGATATATGATATCAGAATGGATTAATAAAAAAAGACCCATCTTATATGCTGCTTACAAGAGACTCATGTTAGATCCAAAGACAGCTCCAAGTTGAAAGTGAGGGGGTAGAGAACCATTTATCATGCCAATGGACATCAAAAGAAAGCTGGAATAGCCATCCTTATATCAGACAAACTAGATTTTAAGCCAAAGACTGTAATAAGAAGGACACTATATCATAATAAAAGTGTCTATCTAACAGGAAGATCTAACAATTGTAAATATTTATGCCCCTAACTTGGGAGCAGCCAAATATATAAACCAATTAATAACAAAATTAAAGAAATTCATTGATAATAATACAATAATAGTAGGGGACTTCAACACCTCACTCTCAGCAATGGACAGATCATCTAAGCAGAAGATCAACAAGGAAACAAGGGCTTTGAATGACACACTGGACCAGATGGACTTAACAGATATATTCTGTTAAATATATTCAGAGCATTTCATCCTAAAGCAGTAGAATACATATTCTTGTCAAGTGCACATGGAACACTGTCCAGAATAGATCACATACTGAGTCACAAATCAGGTCTCAACCAGTATAAAAAGATTGAGATTATAACATGCAAATTTTCAGACCACAATACTTTAAAACTTGAAGTCAACCATAAGAAAAAATTTGGAAGGACCACAAATACATAGAGATTAAAGAGCATCCTACTAAAGAATGAATGGGTTAACCAGGATCCATGGAGGCAAATGAAAATGAAAACACAACAGTTCAGAACCTTTGGGATGTAACAAAGGTGGTCCTAAGAGAGAAATATATTGCAATACAGGCCTTTCTCAAAAAATAAGAAAAGCCTCAAATACACAACCTAACATTACACCCTAGATCTGGAAAAAGAACAGCAAATAAAGCCTAAATCCAGAAAGAGAAGAGAAATAATAAAGATTAGGGCAGAAATCAATGATATAGAAATAAAAACAATAGAACAGATCAACGAAATTAGGATCTGGTTCTTTGAAAGAATTAATAAGATCAATAAATTCCAGGGTGCCTGGATGGCTCAGTCAGTTAAGTGTCTGGCTTCAGCTCAGGTCATGATCCCACAGTCCTGGGATTGAGCCTTGCATTGGGGGGGGGTCCCTGCTCAGCAGGGAGCCTGCTTCTCCCTCTCCCTCTGCCTCCTCCCCCTGTTCATGCTCTGTCTCTGTCTCTCTCTCTCTCTCTCAAATAAATAAAATCTTAAAAAAAAAAAGAGCAATAAACTCCTAGCCAGACTTATCAAAAAGAAGAGAGAAAGGACCCAAATAAATAAAATCATGAATGAAAGAGGAGAGATCACAAACAACACCAAAGAAATACAAACAATTATAAGAGAATATTATAAGCAATCATATGCCAACAAATTAGGCAATCTGGAAAAATGGATGCATTCCTAGAAACATATAAACTACCAAAACTGAAACAGGAAGAAATAGAAAACCTGAACAGACCCATAACCAACAAAGAAACTGAATCAGTAATCAAAAATCTCCCAAGAAACAGGAGTCCAAGGCTGGATGGCTTCCCAGGCGAATTCTACTAAACACTGAAAGAATTAATACCTATTCTGAAACTGTTTCAAAAAACAGAAATGGAAGGAAAACTTCCAAACTCATTTTATGAGGCTAGCATTACTCTGATCCCAAAACCAGATAACGACCACACCAAAAAGGAGAATTACAGACCAATATCCCTGATGAACATGAATGCAAAAATTCTCACCAAGATACTAGCTAAAAAAACATTAAAAGGATTATTCACCATGACCAAGTGGGATTTATTCCTGGACTGCAAGGGTGGTTCAACATCTGCAAATCAATAAATGTGATACACCACATTAATAAAAGAAAGGACAAGAACCATATGATCCTCTCAAAAGATGCAGAAAAAAGCATTTGACAAAATACAGCATCCTTTTTTTCAGAAAAACTCTCCACAGCGTAGGGATAGAGGAAACATACCTCAATATCATAAAAGCCATATATGAAAAACCCACAGTGAATATCATCCTCAATGGGGAAAAACAGAGCTTTTTCCCCCAAGGTCAGGAACACGACAGGGATGTCTACTCCCACCACTACTGTTCAACATAGTACTAGAAGTCCTAGCCTCAGCAATTCAACAACAAAAAGAAATAAAAGGCATCCAAACTGGCAAAGATGAAGTCAAACTTTCACTCTTAGCAGACAACATGATACTCTATGTAGAAAACCCAAAAGATTCCAGCAAATAATTGCTAGAACTGACACCGGAATTCGGCAAAGTCGCAGGATATAAAATCAATGCACAGAAGTCAGTTGTATTTCTATATACTAACAATGAGGCAGAAGAAAGAGAAATCAAGGAATAGATCCCATTTACATTTTCACCAAAAACAATAAGATACCTAGGAATAAGCCTAAACAAAGAGGTAAAGGATCTGTACTCTGAAAACTACAGAACACTTATGAAAGAAATTGAGGAAGACACAAAGAAATGGGAAAACATTCCATGTTCATGGATTGGAAGAACAAATATTGTTAAAATGTCTATGCTACCCAAAACAATCTACACATTCCATGCAATCCCTATCAAAATACCAACAACATTTTTCACAGAGCTGGAACAAACAATCTTAAAATTTGTATGGAACCAGAAAAGACCCCAAATAGCCAAAGTAATGTTGAAAAAGAAAACCAAAGCTGCAGGCATCACAATTCTGGACTTTAAGCTGTATTACAAAGTTGTAATCATCAAGACAGTATGGTACTGGCACAAAAACAGACACATAGATCAATGGAACAGAATAGAGAACCCAGAAATGGACCCTCAACTCTATGGTCAATTAATCTCTGACAAAGCAGGAAAGAATATCCAATGGAAAAAAAAACCAGTGTCTTCAACAAATGGTGTTGGGAAAATTGGACAGCCACATGCAGAAGAATGAAACTGGACCACTTTCTTACACCATACACAAAAATAAACTCTAAATGGATACCTAAATGGTAAATCCATCATAATCCTAGAGAACACAGGCAGCAACCTCTGTGACCTTGGCCACAGCAACTTCTTGCTAGACATGTTTCCAAAGGCAAGAGAAACAAAAGCAAAACTGAACTATTGGGACTTTATCAAGATAAAAAGCTTTTGCACAGCAAAGGAAACAGTCAACAAAACTAAAAGGCAACCTACAGAATGGGAGAAGATATTTGCAATGTATTATCAGACAAAGAGCTAGTATCCAAAATCTATAAAAAATGTATCACACTCAACACCCAAAAAACAAAAAATCCAGTCAAGAAATGGGCAGAAGACATGAACAGACATTTCTCCAGAGAAGACATACAATGGCCAACAGACACACAAAAAAATGTTCAACATCACTTGGCATCAGGAAAATACAAATCAAAACCACAATGAGATACCACCTCATACCAGTCAGAATGGCCAAAATTAACAAGTCAAGAAACGACAGATGTTGGCGAGGATGCAGAGAAAGAGAAACCCTTTTACACTGTTGGTGGGAATGCAAGCTGGTGTGGCTACTCTGGAAGAGTATGGAGGTTCTTCAAAAAGTTAAAATTAGAGCTACCCAGGACGCCTGGGTGGCTCAGTTGGTTAAGAGTGTGCCTTCAGCAGGTCATGATCTCAGGTTTCCTGGATGGAGCCCCATGTTGGGCTCCCTGCTCCATGGGGAGTCTGCTTCTCCTTCCGGCTCTCCCTCTCTCAATCTCTCTCTCTCTCTCTATCAAATAAATAAATAAAATCCTTAAAAAAATAGAGCTACCCTGTGACCCAGCAATTGCACTACTAGGTATTTATCCAAAGGATATAAACATAATGATTTGAAGGGGCACATGCACCCCAATGTTTATAGCAGCAATGCCCACAATAACCAAAATATGGAAAGAGCACAGATGTCCATTGACAGACGAATAGGTAAAGAAGAGGTATATATATATATATATACACACACACACACACACACACAGTGGAATATTACTCAGCCATCAAAAAGAATGAAATCTTGCCATTTGCAACGATGTGGATGGAACTAGAGTGTATTATGCTAAGTGAAATAAATCAGAGAAAGACAAATACCATATGATTTCACTCTTATGTGGAATTTAGGAAACAGAGGAACATAGGGGAAGGGAAGGAAAAATAAAATTAGATGAAAACAGAGAGGGAGGCAAAGCATAAGAGACTCTTAACTCTAGGAAACAAACAGGGTTGCTGGAGGGCAGGTGGGTGGGGGAATGGGGTAACTGGGTGATGGGCATTAAGGAGGGCATGTGATATAATGAGCACCGGGTGTTACATGCAACTGATGAATCACTAAATTCTACTTCTGAAACTAATAATATAGTATGTTAATTAAATTGAATTTAAATTAAAAAAAGATTCTCTCTCTCCCTCTGCCCCTCTCCCCACCCCCACTCACACATGCACATGCAGGCTCTCTTTCAAAAAAAAAAAAAAAAAAACAGTGAAGTCTATGTACTTAACTACTATGCTATACTATATCAACATGTATACACATGCTCACACATTCATATGTATATATACTATATATAATATATGCAAAATATAAAGCAGGCACATCAAATTTATCCAACTTTAGAGATGGTACATAGCATCTTTAGGTAGTCATAAGTAATATCAATGAGAGAAAAAAGACAAAATACCTCTGGTGGTTTTTTCATTCAGGTTCACACCATATTTTGCCAAAGCTCTAATCACATGACTTTGCCCAGCCATGCAAGCTGCATACAACAAATTTCTCCCAACAATGTCTTCTTCCAAGAGGAGCTGCATGGCCTGTTCATGATGAGGGTTCTCAGGATCCTCAAAAATCTTCTGCAAACCTTCTACATCCCCTGTGAGAGCAGGTTGTAAGAGAGGATTAAGAGTGGCTGTTTCCTCTGGTTCTTTCGCTTCTTCTTCATCTTCTTCTTCTTCATCGTCTTGCTGTGAGAAAAATACTGATTTTTCTGAACTCTCTGATTCTGGAGGTCCTTCTGGCTCCATTAACTCCCAAAATACCTGAAGCCAAGAAAAAGTAATAGTAATCTACTCAAACAAATCAGTATTTGTTTATCTGCTTATTTCATCAGTCAACTGACAATATAGATGGGATAAAAATACTTAACTGGTTGAAAATAATTATAAGACACTTACTTCATCCCGCAATCAATAAAGTTTATTGTGCACCTACTATAAATGAGCACACTGCCTGAATATATACTAAAATGCTGAATGTGTGATATAAACAATAAATTCAACAGGAACAGAAGAAGAAGCAGATCAATGTGGCTAGATTTATTAGGAAAAGATTGAAAAAGAATGCTAAAGAGATTCACCTGCCTAAACAAGGGTTCATGCTGGGGAAAAGTGAGAAATACAGAGGGATTACTGGAGCCAGATTAAAACTTTAAAACTTAGGCACTGACATTTAGACAGAATTATTCATTCAGTGATGCTTACTGAAAGCTTACTAATGTACTAAGTGCTGTGTAGTCCCTATGTAAATTACAAAGAAGAATCAAATTTATTTCCTGCCCTCAACGACTTATTATTTTAAGGGAGAAAATATGACATGCACAAAATAAGTGTGATAAAAGGTAACAAGTGCTAAATATCATAAGACATGAGGTATGCTGTGGGAGTTCAGAAAGGATGAGATTAATTCCAGGCACAATTAATCAAGGAATTCGTTGTGCTCAGTCTAGCAGAACACATATTAAATTGGTAATGATTCAGAGAAGAGTAGCATAGTCCCCTTCATATGTATAAGAATGTTTGTAGCATCACTGTTCATAACAGCAAAAATCCTGGGCAGGAAAACAAAGCCCAAGAACAGGAGCATAAACTGTAGCATAGTCATACAAAATAGGATATAGTAGTTAAAATGAATAAATTATAGTGATACCATGCGGTAGGCAGCTTCTAACAGGGCTCCCAGTGACTCTTACCCTGTCTCCTGATATTCATACCCTTGTGTAATTCCTGCCCCTGAATGCAGCCTGGACATAGTGACTTTCTTCTAATGAAAATACAGCAACAGTGATGGGATGTCATTTCCACAATTCAGTTATAGCAGACTGTGACTTTGCCTTATTGGTATTCTCTCCCTGGCTCTTCTTATGTAATATGATGGAGAGGGCCACCTTTCAAGGAACAGAAGGCAACCCCTGGCCAACAGCCAATAAGGAATGGAAGCCCTCAATCCATTAGCTCATGAGGAACTTAACTCTGCCAACAACCACTGAATGAGCTTGGAAGTGGATCAGCCCCAGATGAACCTTGAGATGACTGCAGTCACAGGCAACACCTTGACTGTGTCTTCATGAGAGATGCCAAAGTGAAAGATCTAGCTAAGCTGTGCCCGAGAAACTGGGAGATAAGGAATGTGTGCCATTTTTAAGCTACCACATTTGGGGGTAATTTGTCACACAGCAATAAATAACTGAAGCACACAATATGAATGAATCTTAGCAATATAATATTAATGGGAAAAAGTAGATCCAAAAGATTATATATAACAAGATATATTTTTGTAAAGTTCAAAGCAATTAAAATTGACGTTTTAGGAATGCAAATAGACTCAGTAACACTATTTTTTTAAAAAGAAGAAAAGCAAGATTCAACATAAGATTCAGGATCATGTTTGTGGCAGGAGCGTGGGGGAAGACACAGGAAATGGGATAAATGGATTCATATATTTAGTAAAAAAAAAAAAAATACAGCATTTAAGCTGGGCCATAAAGAATGGGCAAGATTTGGTCATTCAGAAGTCAGAAGGAAGGGCAATCTAGTTAGACAGAATAACATCTTGGGCGCCTGGGTGGCTCGGTCGTTAAGCGTCTGCCTTCGGCTCGGGTCATGATCCCAGGGTCCTGGGATCGAGTCCCGCATCGGGCTCCCTGCTCTGCGGAGAGCCTGCTTCTCCCTCTCCCACTCCCCCTGCTTGTGTTCCTGCTCTCGCTATCTCTGTCTCTGTCAAATAAATAAATAAAATCTTTAAAAAAAAAGAATAACATCTCTATCTGCATAACCCTACATTAATCTCTACCTTTACTAAACGTGTATACTTGTAAGCTGTTGAAGTTAGGAATTCTTTGATTATAGATAACAGAAAAATAGTAAGATTGACTTTTAAAAGTAAAAGATTATTTTTTCACATAACAAGAAATTTAAAGGTGGAGATGGTTCAGCAGCTCAAAAATATAGATGCAAGCTCTTTCTACCTTTCTATTCCATCATAGTGTGTAAGACTTTCATCATCATGGCTATTGCCTCCTAGTGACAAGAGGGCTATCATAACTCCTGGCATCACATCTGCATTTGTGGCAGGAAAAAGAGGGAATCCTCCAGAGGATAGCTATGCCTTTTTAAAAGGAAAGCAAAACAAAATCTTTCCTGACAAGCCCTAACAAAGGCCAGATTGTATCCCTACATTTAAAAGAAGAAAAAAAAAAAAAGCAAGTTTCTCAATTTTCCTGCCTTTATAATAGAAGCAAGCAAGGTAGATGGGGTTGGGAATGGGAGTTGTTAGCCAATCAGCCATGACTCCACCATAAGATTTGGCCCAAACCTTATCTTTGAAATTGTTTCATTTAATTCCCTTCATTTTACAGAATAAACATGGAAAAAACATCCTTTTGAGTGCTAGCATCTAACTTTCCACCCTCCCAACACACAAACACACACACACACACACACACACACTTTCTTAAAGAATCCCTATCTCCATTTTAGAGATTTCTAGTGGAAGATAAAGCTAACTTCCCACTATATAAGCCAAAGGCAAAATCCTCCTCCTCTCCATCTCAGCACAAGGTTGGGAACAAGAATATAAATTAGCTCTGCCAATCAGGTGCTCAATCCTAGGATCTTGACACTTTTTCTGCTGTTGTTTTTAATCATTTCATTTTCTCATTCACATATAACATTGTATCAGTTTAAGGTATGCAACATAATAATTTGATCTATGTATATATTATAAAATGATTATCACGGTAAGTTAACTCCATCACCTCACATAATTACAAAACTTTTTTTCTTGTGATGCAAACTTTTAAGATCTAATCTCTTAGCAACTTTCAAATACAATACAGTATCGTATTTAATTCAATGCAGTATTGTTAACTATAGTCATTATGCTGTACAGTGCATTCCCAAAACATATTTACCGTGTAACTGGAAGTTTTTACATTTTGACCCTCTTTATCCATTTCACCTACCCTAACTCCACCTCTGGCAACCAGCAATCTGTTCTCTGTATCTGTGAGTTAAGTTTTTTAGCTTTCATAATAAATGACCAGGATCTTGACACTTGAACAAGGGACACAGGAACATGAGGCTAGTTGAAGGCCATTCATCAAGGTGACAGCAAGGGTGTACTGATCAAACTTCCTGCTATGAGAACATGCTGTGGTTCTTGTGGTCTGACCCTCCAGAGCTCCCTTGGTTCCTGCTCGTTTCCAGGCTCCTCATGATCATGCGAGCCCCTGTTATAGTACTCAGACACAGCTGTCTTCCCTAAAATCTGATCTCCCCTTCTTTAGGAACAGAACCCAATTCTCTTTTTTTTAACCACACATTTTTTAAAAACCTATATTTATATTGGGATAAAACTACTTCCCAGTCTCTCTTGCAGCATGATGTGGCCATATGTCCAAATAGTAGACCTAAGATGTAAGTAGTCATGTAGTATACAACTTCTAGGAAAGTATAATTCCTTCTCACTGGATTGCAAGCATAATGACTAGAGCCTGCACAGCTAATTTAGACCATGAGGAGGTGGATGTCCTGTCCAAATACATATATATTGCTTAATATATTGTATTACATATAGTATAAATTATTTTTATTATATTATATAGTATATATTAGTGTATATCTTATTTCAATTTTATATACGTAAATATATATATACATATATATATCTTCTACTAATAAGGTAACCAACCAAATAACTTATTGGCAGTGGTAATGGAGACTTGGACACTTTTGTCCTGGGTACATTGCATATATGGGGTATACCTGCATGTATATCATTAACCAAAATACTATTTATCCTTACTACATGTAATATACTGAAGTTTTTATTCCCATTAGGTATTTTTTTAATTTTTCATTTTTTAAGTAATCTCTACACCCAACGTGGGGCTCAAACTCAGGACCCTGAGATCAAGAGTCACATGCTCTACCGACTGAGCCAGCCAGGCGTGCCTATTCCCATTACATTTTTTAAGGCTGGTGCAACCCACCAAATTAATTTCATGATCCGCTATTGGGGCACAAGCCACACTGTGAAAAAACATTAGTTTTGAATAACCTCTCTGGAACTATACCAGGAAATCGACAAGAGAGAATTTAACAGAAGTTAGACAGCAGGTGTTTATGGTTAATAGCTTGGGTGACATATGTTTCAATGGACCCAGGGTGGTTCCAGTTACATCTGTTCCCCTGCTGTAATTTTTAATAGCATCCTCTATCACACAATAAATGGTTTCATCACCCTATTAATAACATTGTGATCTTCTGGAACATATCTACTATAGATATCCATATTTAAACCTTAGAGAACAGAGGCAGAATATGCTTAAAATGCCTTTTCTCGCCGGCCTAGTGGGGGCCCAGACATGAGACCTTGAAGATACTGAGAAAATCCTATTTACATCTCATACATATTCCTATTACTAGGCCTAGAATAATGTTTCTTTCCTCCTCCGTTCCTACTATCCAAATCCTATTTAGGCCAACCTATAAACCTATTTTCTTCCTAAAGCTTCCCTTGACTCCTCTCTAGAATTCACATGGGCCTCTCCCTCCTATGATCCTCAAAGGCCATTATATATAGTCCATAACATACCGTACCAAGGATGGTATTACATTATTTTCTATTTGTTTCAAGTATAGAAGACATCTACTTAATTAGATTATAAACTGGATGGGGGCAAGGATCAAGCCTTACATTTCTCTTGTGTCACTTTCAGACTTACCACAATTCTTGAAATGTATGTATTCAATAAT